AAAATAAATGGAGAGAAATAAACAAAACCTTGCTATAATCTTATAATAGTTTCTTGCCCAACTTTCCAGACATTCACCATCACCGGGTGGTATATGCGATAGAATATGCACATACTGACCATCAAGTTCCGCTTGTTTAAGTTCCGCAACCAGCCAACTTAAAGTACCGTCCGGATCCGTTTCGTTAATGCGTAGCCAACTAAATTTATCACAATTTTGCCAAAATTACTTTAAAATAATATTTTACACTAGGTATGATAAGTAACAAAATATAATTTTTATCATGATTTCCTAATAATACCGTCAATTATTATTATCTTAAAATTATAAATTATTAATTTGGATAATGATCTTTATGATTCCAGCGGTAACACAACAATAAATATTATTATATTTCATCATTTTTATAGATAATTTTTTCTTATAACACCATTTGATAGATAATTTTTTTAATTGTAAGCATATTTATATTTTTATCAACACTATTGTTATCATCATTATCATCGTTGTCATTATAATAACCACATTTAATATATCTAAAGCTAATTTAACGAATGAATTAACACTTACAAGTTGGAAGTTTCGCAGTAACCGCTGTTCAATGATATAAGTTTCAGTCCTGGATGGAGTTGCACTATGTAAGAGCCACGGCTAAAATTTGAAATACTATTTTGTTTTGTTTTTTTTCCAAATAAGACAAAATCAATTTTTTTAAATTAAAACTTACTATTAAAACTTTAAATTTGAAACTTACTATTTAACAGTTTCAATTGATTTCATATCAAGAAGCGGTCCCTCTAACTGTTGCAATTCATCGTACAGCCATTGTGGACGATACTTCTCCGGGATATAATGCGGTGCAAAACTACATATTTATAATTTTATAATTTTTTTAAATCAATGAAAAAATTACATTTATTTTTACATTTCTCTTTTTTCCACTCTTTTCATTTAATCAAAGTTATGCGTATTTAAGATAACGTTTAAATTTAAATTCACACATATATTTTAAGCTTGAATGGATTTTAATTTAAATATAAGATTTAAAAAGCTGAATTTTTTAATTTAAGGACATGTACAAACCATGATTGCTATCAGTAAGGCATGTTTAATAAGATAAGATAGCAAAGTCGATTAAATTTTAAAAAATTTTTTTAATATTTCTATCATTTATTCTTATGTCAGACACTTCAATATTTAAATTATTCAAAAAAAAAAAGAAAAATAAAACCTATCAACGGGAACACCTTCGTGGTTACCCAATGTCCAATAGATTGGTGTATTTTCAAAGTATTTATGCAAAACTGTTGAAAGATTTCGAATTGTTTCCAAATGATTCTCTTTGGTATATGTCCAATCCATATGTGATTCATAATCACCTCCGACCAATATATAATCAATCTGAACTTTGACAGTAATTTAATCATATTATCACAGCATCGGATTCATAATGAATTGATAACATAATAAAACTAGCATGATGTAATAATATTAATGATACAGTACTAATGGTATAGTATTAATGATATAGCATTAATGATACAACTATAATGATATTAGTGATATAACGAAAAATTCAGAGTATCATACGATTCAAATCCATGTCCGCTACATATCATATTATCATGATAAAACGTTAAATAGTATCATTGAGTGCTAAATATTACTATCGATTAGGCATTAAATATTAATGATATCTGCTCTATATTAAATAATTACTACCCTTTAGTTAAGTATTATATTTATGCAATTGATACGGTGCAAAAGAGAAGTGACAATCCAAATAATTAACAAATAAAATCTTTTTTTGCATATTTTAACGAGACTTGTTGAAGGTGAAGAAAAATCAAAAAAGCAAAACGAAAATTAAATTATGTTAAACTTTAGTTAATCAAAGAATAATTTAATAATTATAAATCAACAACAAGTAAACAACCTTTCCAAGTTTTTGAATATTTTGTAACATATTTTCTACCGTTCGATATGGTATATCGCATACGGCAGGAGTACCCCAGTAACCGGATGGTTGTGTTATTGTTGATCCTGAAACGGTTTCCGTTTGTATAGCAATGAATGATTCACCTGGGAAAGAAATAATATTTGAGAATACAGAATATTTTTCAGCCTTCTAAATAATTATCCATTAATTAATGATGTTAATGGAATAATTTAGCTAATAGCTAATTCAATTTTCCCTCATAGAATGACATTTGTAAATATTTGAGGCAAAATTTAAACTCATTTAATTTTAAATTTAATATTCGTATAGAAATTACCGTTTGATTCGGGTTTCATATGACAACAAAGCTCACTGCTACAATTAGCTTCCGAACCTGGTGTATATTTTGAATCGAGATGTAAATCGCTAATATGTAATACTCGCAAATTATCTTCTCTCATAGCCGGATAAGTGGGATATTTTTGATCTAAATTATTTAAAATAATCATAGGTAATTAATTATTTCTTCTGATAAAATGCTAACAGTTGGAAGGA